CAAGCACTACAGTCTAAAATGCCCACGATCCTCAGAGGAGTTGCGCTTACAATCCGTTCATCTTTATAATCAATTTTACGTTTAAAAGGGCCCGATTTCCCAGAAAAATAAAGAAATTAGAATTTGTCGGTAATATGCAAATTCGTGTCAATAAAACCTACAACGTTTCATAAAATTCTATGTAGTCCTTTAAAAAGTATTGTGCTCAGAAATAAAGAAAATAAAAGATATATAAATAAAGACAATTGACGGACTTATTGACAGGTTCAAAACACTTGTAACAATAATTATCTATTATGCTAGTTTCTCTTTACATTTAACACTGCTTGTAAACGATATCGTAAATATCCCTTTACTCTCAATACTGTATACATGGTTATTCTCGCCCCGTCTTATTTTCGCCCTTTTGCACTTGGGAACAAGTTTGCCCCGTTTTAAATTCGCCCATTCATAGTTCTGTTTAAGAAATTATGCTGTGTAATTTGCATTCACCCCTTTTTAAATTCGCCCAATCAAGAAGAGAGCGAAAGGGGCGAAAATAAAACGGAGGCGAAAATTTCCCTGTATACAGTAATATAATTTTAAGCCCGAAAAATAGGTAAAGTCAAGGTCAATGCATTTTATTGCTTTGATCATCATCCTTCCAGACACAACAATAACATCTATTTATGTTACATGTAATTTATGTGTTTTCTCCTTTTTTTCTATATTTTTTGAATTGTAACAAACTAACAATTTTACAAATAAATATAAAATAAACTATGAAGTCCAGGGTTCGAATCCTGAGGAGGAATATGTCTGTATTTAATGAAAACGATTTTTACAAATCGCACTTCTATATAAAAAAAACACTTTATATTTGCCTGTTTGACTTTTGTTCTTTAATGCATCATGCTTTCTTTCAGAAAATCTTGAAACAACATATTATCTCGTACGTATGAGATATTATCTTGGATGTACGATATAAAAATGTTGTACGTATGATTCAGTATCTCGTACGTACGACGTATTATCTCATACGTATGACTGAGTATCTCGTACCTACAACTTAATATCACGTACCTACGACATATTATCAATTTTCAATTGGCAGCAATACACTTTCGTAGGTAAAGGCTTGTCTAAAATAATAATAAATTATTTTATTTCATCAAAAGTTTAGAGCTAGGAAAGAGATACACAATACATTTACCCTCCATCGACAATGACGGTGATGTAGTGCGTTGTCTCCGGGCTCGTTATATCGAGGCTTTAGGCTTTGGACGGCTTTTAATCGATTTAGAAACAAGGAAATTCTTAGCTATTGATCGAATGGTAAGTTTTCCAGTATATTTGCAATCATCAGCATATAAATATGCTACCGCCCTTTATTAAATCAAGACTGTTTCAATGGTTCCAATAAAGCATTCGAAGTCTTATTGATGTTTGATTAATTATTTATCTATATTGCTAGAATATGTTCCTTTGCCCTTTTCAAATTATGGCATGTTACATGTATCTAGGACTGAATATTAAGGTTTAAAGAGATATCTTAGCTAGAGATTTTTTTTATTTAATTAAAAAAATCAGAAATGTGTCATGGAAATTGAAGCAGACCCAGGATATTTCAAGGAAGGCGATACGTTTGGAGTGCCAGTAACTGTGAAAGACTACAGCAAAACCATCATGTCAACGCAAAGCAAAACATTTCTGCCGTACATAAACGTCATTGGAAGAGTAGTAACTTTAGTACGTATAACGATTAAATAGCGACCGAAATGGCCTTATTGGCCATGTGAATTTATGATAAACCGAAACTGCTCAGTTTTAGAAAAAAAATCATTAAATATCACTTAGATGTGTGGTGATAGCGTATTTAACAAGAAGACGTAATTTTCTGGCAGGTCAATGTATGGTCACGTTAGGAAATGTGTCAATTTCCTTATATTCTGAACAAGTCTAGAAAATCGTCCAATTTTTAAAGCTGTTTTTCGATATTTAATATAGAGCGCAGCCTCTATTTAATTAAATACAAATAATAATGTACCAACATAATGCTATATCTATAGTATTCCTTATTAAGGCTAAATATGTTATTAATTAATTAAAAAAATTGTAGATGTCTTTTAAAATAACTGGGAAGACAGACCCACCTGAGTTTATTCCACCGACTCCTATGAACAACATGCAGTATAGGATTTACGTGGGTGGGGATTTTAATGTAAAGGTGTATGCAAAAGCCTCGATTGGCAGGTTTGTACGTTTTCAAAGCTATCGAAATCATTGCTTTTTGGAGGGACCTTGAACATCCGGGCTTCGTATACTATCACTGTACAATAACTATGAGTGAAAGATCTTTAAAGCCATTCACGGATATACAGTGACGTCTCAGATGAGAGAAATATTATAGTTTGCAGTTAAGAGTAAAGTTTTACGTTACGTCACGATCTTGTTCGTAGGATGCATCCAGCGTAAACAATTCACGTGATTGGTCAACTCAAATTATCAACATTGATATGGAAATAGTCTGTTGCACGAGCAACCAATCAGGGATAAGAAGTAAGTTCCAGTCGTAAAGCTTGCGGTTAGGAGGCGTGTACAATTTACCTTGAGCGCAGCTGTCAACAAGATCGTGACGTACATGTAACGTGAAACTTTACACTTAGTGCAAACTATAATAATCTTGCATGAGATGTTAATCATCTGTCAATCAATGACTTTGTCATTGCTGTAGCTTTGAAATATGGCATTGACCATTAAAACTTATACCTTTCAACTTGTACAATATACAGATAAAGACATAGTCTCTAAAAATCGTGCAATGCTAAAGGCAACACATGAACTATTGTGATTATATAAATAGTTTAAGATTACTTGCCCGAACACTTCTGAAAACAATCATCTGGTAAAATGTGCTGTACATGTGTTCAGGGGTGAGATGTTGGAGAAATTGTGAGACTGTCCATTTTGTTCATTGACAGGAGATGGGTTAATCAATTGCAAGGAGGAAAGAAATTGGAAACAAAATTAGTAGTTTGCTTGGTTGGATAAGGGCCCTTCGAAAATTTTACACTCATATTGAGACACCGGAACCTATACTTGGCACTCATAGCCATGCTGAACCGAGGTGTCGTTCTCGTGCCAGCACATACGGGGACCTCAATTTATAGGACTCAATGTGTCCATGTCCTGAAGTGGGATTAAGTCGATCGCTACTCTTTAACGAAGAGAACTTTTTCTTATCTTCGCGGTTTTGTACTAATTGATAGACATACGTGTAAGATCCCTGTTTTCAGTCGTATAATAATTCAAAAAATTATTTAAAACCCGGATGTCAGATACATGGGATTGATTGATTGAATGCATACTGTTTAACGTCCCTCTCCAGAATATTTCACTGATATGGAGACGTCACCATTGCCGGTGATGGGCTGCAAATTTAGGCCTATGCTCGGCACTTACGGCCTTTTAGCAGGGATGGATCTTTATCGTGCCACACCTGCTGTGACACGGGGCCTCGGTTTATACGGTCTCATCCGAAGGACCGCCCCATTTAGTCGCCTTTTACGACAAGCAAGGGGTACTGAGGACCTATTCTAACCCGGATCCCCACGGGACCAGATACATGGGATCAAAAAATTATAAAGCATTTCAATTTGTACTTAATTTACAAAGTCACATTACCTTATAAACATTGTTAGACCTACATTATACGCAAATGACTGAAATGTTTAATAGTAAAATAACTAAAAGGTACATGTACCAAGTTACTCAAAATTGAAATTTAGATATCTATTGGAAATGAAATCGTAGAATAAGGCAAGTTTTCTTTGGCAAAGCAACCTGCTTTCTGGTAGTCGTTTGTGACTTCTTAAAATTTCTAGGTCAGAAAAAGACATTAAGGTCAAGATCTAGTAAATGGAAGGTGCCTACAGATTTTTCAAATTTAAGAAATTAATTCCTTTAATGATGCTTTATAATATTAGCTTGGTCAAAATATATGTTTCGGGGCATAATTTGCAGAAAAACAAGATGAAAAACCATAGTTTAGACTGTCATTTTCAATGAAAAATTAAGAAAACCAGTATTGAAAATGGGAGTTTTTTTTCCATATCAGGCAAAGAAAATGTATCCAGATTGCCAACAGATTTTCAGAAAACGGTAATTTATATGTTTTAGTCTCTACTTTAAAATAATGTCAAATTTAAGATAGGTATCGGGACTACTTTTCATCTGATTTCAAATTGAATTCCATGGAAATACTTTATTTTCTACGTAATTCTATTAGAGCCCTAAAGTACGGGAAAAAGAAAGTTGAAAGTGATTATGACGTCATAATGGATTTAGCACTGAAAAAGTTATTATAAATTCATTTACTAGATCTTGACCTTAAAGTGATTGGGAGGAATTCTACTTCTGTATCTACAAAGCAAAAATTTAAGTATAAGAAATTAATTCGCAGAAAAGTGGCAAGATTTGATATTCTAAGAGTAGATGGGAAACTAGCTCACCATAGTGGAATCCAAAGCGCAACCCACATCAGTCCTGCTGCAGCCTTCATATCAATAAGATGGTCTCCACAAAAGAAAGATGTTGGACATCACATTATATGTGTAAATGCTGAGGATAATCAAGGGTACATGTAATTATGGAATTAAAAAAAATTAAGGAATTATAACCAAAATCAAATGCTCGCAGTTTTGAAACTAACACGCTTTTTTTTTTAATTTATTCTGTTTATTGGTAATATAGATCAAAATGCTTTAGGGAAAAAAATAGAATTGAAATACAATGCTTATATCTAATAACGTCTAAACATTATTAATTAATAACATACTGAAGCTTTAAAATTGTAAAAAGTACATGTAGAAGAAATGGTAAGAGATACAGTATGTAGTTTAATATTATTTTTTCCATCATTTTTTTTCAACAGAAGAAGCACAGTAGATATGCAATGCTTTCGGATAGAGATAAAAGGTTCGTACATATAAACTTTAAAATAGTTATTGTTGTACCATTTTAGGGGAAAATTGAGTTATCTAACAATCCGAGATAACTTGTATATTTGTGCCATTCAACGTTTCCCTCTCAATTACATTTTCTATGACACTTTTGTATCAGTAATGGCAGATTTCTAACCATAAAAAATGTGTTATATACCAGCGAACTGTGATTCATATTTCTTCTGTAAATTGTTGCTTAATAGAATGTTTACCTTTGCTTTACAATAAAAGCTTTTGATAGATCAATATCATTAATGTTAAAGGTGCATGAACACAGATTTGAAGTTGATAGTTTTACTTTATGTACAACATCAAGAATTACATATTCAATAGCATTTCACACAAAAATATTAAAAATTTTATTCCATCTTAAAGTTATTGAAAGTTCAAATCTTTAGATAGGTTTGATTGACAAATCCTTGCTCTCACAAATTTTACTTTTATTCTTAATACTTAGGAAAAGTGGAAATCTTGTTGTGAATTAATAAAAAAATATTAGAAATTTAATCCAGAAAAATAATTATATTCAGAGTTGAAATGTTAGAAAGCACAATCCCTTCACAAGTATCGTCATTCTGCGCTAAGTACTGTGTGCAGAGTTTAGCAAATTGATCGCACCCATGAAATGTACATAGTTTTTGTAAACAGGGCACGAGTTCTGTTATTGTTGATGCTTACGATTCACCAGGAGCGTTCAACTGTTAAATGATGTTGTCACCACAACTGCACGGACTGACAATACATACAGTGTGTATGTTTTACTTTTGAACGAGGCTGCTTACCGAAAATGAAAGTATAATTTTTTTCATTAAACCTACGACAATTAATGTGCTAATAGAATCTGGATCTGGACATAGTTTATGGATATCATATTATACCTATCAATGTCTTTCTAGAGGAGAGAGTAAGAAATCTTGTGCAGCCGTCGGAGTTTATTGGCAAAGTTTATCGAATTACAAGTATAGATTTTGTCCTTTCATTTTAGAAAACATATTCATACCAGGATCTAAGCCAGCAGTGATTGTAAGTAGTAGAGAGAGAGAGAGAAAGAGGTAAAAAAAAGTGAGAGATAGAAAGACGTAGGGCTAAATATGAAAAGGGCAGAATTTGACAGAATGGATTGTTTAAGAAATATATTAAAGAATCCTTTACGAAGTAATTAAACGGCACCATGTAAACCATCTATCATACTATTTAAACTAAATCTGAGGTGATTAAAGATTTGAAAATAATACATGGATAATATGTTGTGTTCAAATAGACAAAGCGTGAAATAATAATTGATTGCGCCCATGTGAAAAGGGTCCTTATGGCAATTTTTATGCATTTTGAGTTTTTCACGGATTCGGATAGAGTAAGGTTAGAAGTTGTCAAATATGAATTTTTATGGTCCTACGTCTACTCTAAGTAGGTTTTTTCTTCATTTTTATCAAATATTCTTTAACAGGTTAATAATGGCGTCATGTTTTTCAACAACGTCAAACGTTTTCAGAGTGAACTTTAAATGATTTTCTTCTGTAATTTTACTACGGTGATTAATAGTTGTGTAATATTTGATATTTTTCCATGCACATTATTTTTATCTCATTGTCTCTTTTAATTATTAATAATTTTTTAATAGTTATATATATTATGGATTCATCAGTGAGTGTTTGTTTTACATTTCACTTTTCTATGACACCAGGGGGAAACCTGAACAGCGGGCTAACATCCATTCATTTTTTTTAACAATTATTTTCTCAAACAAAATGTTTACTGGTAATCCATGCAAGAGTCATTTGATAAGCCTGTAGAATTCATTTGAAAATTATTTTGATTTAAACGTTGCTCTCGATAGGTCAAGATTTCAGCATAAACGATATATCTTAAGTAACCATATATGTGAAAATTATTTTGTTTTTAATTACAACATTACGCTACCTAAATGCTACTGCGAAGTGAAAATTTATTTGATTGTTCTTTCTTTCTAAATTTTATATAAAGACAGAAAAATTGTGAAGTGTGGTACATGTAACTTGTAATTACGATACATATTAGACAGTAAATAAAAAGGAAATTCGGTTGATTCACTGCATCTATAAGGTTGTCTGTCTGCATTGGGTCAATAATGACACTGCTTTTTTTGAAAATATAAAGGATACACGAAATATTTTTCAGTCGAGCAGTAAAAATATTTTAATATTAACCAATCAAAAGATGGAAATTTTACAAACAAATGAATGAGTTATAATCCGCAATCATTTACACAATAGATAAAACCAGAATTAACATTTGTAGGATTATGTGCATGTTGGTGAAGGGGAGGGGGGTGTAAAAAATCTAAATGGCAGAAACTTACAATTCTTGTGAACACGAGTTAAAATAAATAAAAAAAATTTTTTTTTTTACTTCAAAAGTTTTAGGTGCACCCAGTACCATTAACCCTACAACTTGCAGATTCACTTTTTTATTTAGGTTTGAAATAATGCTGCCTATTATTCTTCATTTTATATTTGTACCTTTAATTCTGAGAATTGCCATTTTCAAAATCGCACAGCGATCATAAACACTATGAGCCTGGAACTAAATTGCTATGAATTCAGTATTGTTAATTATGTATATAATGATACCCTAAAATTAAAACAATCTGGTTTTATTTTATGAAATGGAGGGTTTTAGAAGCTGCTAGCATTCCCATAGAATTAAATTAAAGATGCCATTTACGGTTTATATGTATAGCTTTTGTTGGGGTAGGGGTGGGTTAAAGATTAATAACATGTAATTGTTTATGCCTAAATATACAGTCAGTTGAATATGACTCTTTGTATAATATATTTCCTGACAATTGTCTGTGAACTGGCTGAGCTTTGAAATGTCAGATTTTTGTAGGGATGTAAACATCTTAGAAAATCATCATATTATTTATGACCTAATTAAAAAGAATCCCCTTCATTCTTATGTTGTTTTCTAATTTTATTCTATAATGTGAGTTTTAAATAGTATAAATTCCATTCTGGTCCTGTGCCCAGGGACGTACATGTAGCAACAGGGGGGGGGGGGGGGGGGGGGGGGGGCCTGACCCTTCACTCCCCCCCCCCTCCCCACCAAATACGATTTTCGACTTTGTGCAACTTTAACCTTTTTTTTTTGCTTGTCAACATTTTCGGGGAATTAAAAAAAAAAATCTCTGCCTGCCCCGCGCCCCCCCCCCCTTTCTCAAAAACGATGCAACGTGCCTGCATGGTGCTTCAGTGATGATTGTGTTTTTAGCATGATAATTGATCTGTTAAGAGACATTCAATGCTGATCCAGCTTTTATGAAAGACAAAGTTCGGCATGGCTTAAAGAATTAATTTGCAGATAATGCTTAAAACAATTGAACTCCGTATGAAAAAAAAACATGTAAGTACCAAAGAGTTACATGTATATTAAACTTGGAGACCTTGAAAATAAATAGTTTTACATGTATATATAGTTTAGAGAACAAAAATGATAATTTCTTTCATTTATTATTTCATTTGTTTTGAAAACTCATCTTTTTCAATAGAGTTTCACATTTCTCAATATTAGTTAAATAGATTCAATATAAATATTTTTATCTACCCAATACATCCTCTCTCTCTCTCTCTCTCTCTCTCTCTCAGCAGATTTGCTTGACCAGCTCTATTAAAGTTAGAACATCAAGAACATTTTTTTTTTCATTCGGATGTTTTTTGCTTGTTTTAATTTCTCTAAATTGAAGTGTCTGTGCAACAAGAATATAAGACAAAACAACATTTTTAAATTTTAATTTATTTAATCATGAATTGATTATAAAGTAGACGCTTTACCTGTTTATTATTTTTTTTAATGCAATTCGTCATGAAATTATTTCATGCAAAAAAAAAAAAAGTTATAGATAAGAGATTTCAAAAAAAATTAAAGTCTGTTCAATTTTGCAGTTTTCTTTTTTTTTTCTTTGTTCTTCCTTTTTCTACATTAACCTTATTCCCAAAGTACAACAATATTTTTTTAATTTAAAAATTCACAATTATAATGACGATTATAAGTTTTTTTTTATTTGGTTATAAAATATGTCTTTTATAATCCCGGAGAAAATGAAGCTGAAATGTGAAAAAGTACGCAATTAAAATAATGAATGTCCCTGTCTGGTACCCCTGTTACATCGATTGTTGACATCAGAGTTATCCCTCCTATTTTTATTTATAGAAAATACAAATAATCTTCACGTTTGTTCTTACACATTCTTGCTAGATTTGTAAAAAAAAAAAAAAAAAAAAAAAAAACAAAAAAAAAAAAAAAAAAAAAACGTGGAAGATGTATGTTAAGTTTCAACATTTGTACAAACAATTTAACAACAGTTTAATCAATCAATTCATTTTTTGACAACACCATCATACATTAGCATATAGTCATGAATACAGCAATTAACATAAATAAAATAAAATATCAAAGAAAGCATATCAGGTTTGTTGAAGGTTTTTTTTCCTAATATCAAAGCACTTTTTCAAAAAGTTACAAACTCTCCTAGCAGTTCTAATACTTGTAGGATTGATAATTTTAAGCAGTATGCACCGATGAATCAATGTTTACAAGTGATCGACGCGATCGCGATGTATATTTGAGAGTGGTGGAGCGGTTCTCAAAGAAGTAGGAAGACAATTTTCCTTTGCAATATTTTTTACGATATACCCTGTCTAAGATGTATTCTTAAAATGGTATAAATATGTAAATAAAATTTATCTAGAGTATAAAGGTTCAATATGCTATCAGAAACGCCTTGTCTATGTAGCTTCTATACATGCATTTACTTACGCATGTATAGGAAAACCATTGGTATTAAAGAGACGTATTTAATAATGCTTGTTAAGAAACCAGTTCTAAATGATTTAATGTAATATTTATATCTATTAAAATCAGTGGATTAGGAGATTCAGATATTGATTAAATGAATTTATAATTGAAAATAAATTCCACATGTTGGAAACAGCGATAAAAACTCTGGATGCGTCAAAGGTCAAAACACGTGGATAGAAAAAAAATCTACGTCGAACATGTCGAAGTTCACCGTCAGTCTGCAACGTCACATCTTTATGACGTTATTTCTCTGTTTTAGCAAAAATGCCATAAGGACCCTTTTGTCATGGGCGCAATCAATATGGTCATCATTTGTGAGGCTTATTATTATATTGTAATTTAGAAGAACATCACAATTTAATTGTACATGTATTTTTGGAAATCCAATTTAAACGCATGGTTCACTCTCGAAAGGTGAGATCTTTCAAAATCACATTTCAGAGATTAATAACTCGACATTCCAGTCCACCCAAATTGAGCAAGAACTATGCAATATATACTGATTTATTAAACATACTAAAATTCTTACGAACAAAGATACATTGTGGGTCCAGAAAAAGGGCTACCAACGCCGTATCTATACTTCTTCCAAAGATATTTACTCTACATGAAGGGGGAACTTTAATACACACTGTGCTACAACAGACTCTAAATAATATGTAATCAAGACAAGGATTCTCAAAAACATTTTTTAAAAAAACACACATTTAGAAAATGTAAAAATCACAAAAATTTTCCGAAGTCAATAACATCAAAACGTACACCTTTTCTACATTTCAAACAATCATTCCCAATAATTCATTAAAAGCAAGGATTTTTGATATCATAATTTAACCAACTGCTTTTAGTAAAAATTGAAGTTAATAATTTGCATTGTTATTGGTAATCATTGCAATGATTTAAAAAAAAAAAAATGACCCAAATTCTTAATTCAAGTACATGTACTCTGACGTTGAGATTTAAAGGATGCTAGAGTTTTGCATTTACAACATTTATAAAATCTTCGGAGATAATGTCTTTTGAAAACTGTTGGCATTTCCATGGACAATAAGACGAGTCAAACTCCTGATAGATCCGTTGATGTAAGCGGGTTTCCAACAACTTCTTTTAAACTCAAACGATTAGGGTTATGGTTAGTGTAAATTTTATTGTCATCATTTTTTGACGATGCTTTTCATACTTGTTGCAATTGTTAGATAATTCTTTATACTAAATTTGTCTACAGAATGTTTCGTTTACATGTTCAAAACATAGGACCCACAGCGGGTGTTATCGGTCAACAGGGGGATGATAACTCTTACAATGCATCTGATCCAAACTCTATGTCAGTGTTTTATGCCCTGCTCATAGTTTTGTATCAAATTGCTGGTAGATTTCTTGTTAGACCGAAACACTTTTGTTACTTTCACCTTCTTTATCTCATAATGAAACTTTCTTTTTAGTCTGACTTCTCTAAGGAACTATAATTTAATTATATAAAATCAAAATGATTCAAAAGCATTTGTATCAAAAATAAGAATGTGAACATATTTGAGTTATTTTTGAAAGGTTAAGTCCTTATAGCTGACTAATGTAAGAATTTTTTTCAGGCAAATCCAACGTTTGTGTCCTTTCCAGAGCCAAATTACCTGACATGCGAAATGAATACGTACTGCATATTTCCAGTTTTCGTCACCACAGCAGACGCTAAGTAAGATGCAAATGTGAAAGCCAGGAAAAGATTTTCAATCAATTCTATTGAATCAGAATTAATAGTCAGAACTTAAACTGGCATAAAATGTACGAGATCTTGAATTCAAAAGTTCCTTATTTTACGTTCAGACATGCCACGAACCTATTCAATGAGTTTGTCAAAGCGTTTTATGAAGGTACCGTACTTGATTAAGTGCTAATGCAAAATAATTCTGATGCTAAAATTCAGAACGCAGTATAAAGATTCGACAATTTAACGGGTTCCCGTAGTAAAAAAGCAAAGATTATTATTAAAGAAAATCCATACGTATTTACATGCAAGCTTAGTTATCATAAAATTACTGAATTTCTTTTTTTTTTCTATGTGTCTCTTCTGTTTTCTCTATTATTAATCAGATGTAGGCCGATCTCTGAAAATATTGTCACGTTCATATGGGTAAATTAAAAAAAAATAAATTCAGGTTTCTGCAAACTGTTTGAAAAGTTTGTTTTCATTGTCATGCACTCAGACAAAAAAAAAAATCACATTAAATGTTCAAAATTTTCCTGCTTTCTACATAATTTGAATCAATTCCGTCTAGATCGTTTGCTGTTTTTACAAATCACAAGGCAGTATATTGCTCTTATGAAATAAATATCAACAGTAATAATCTAACATCTATGCAATCTGTTTTACTGTGAATTAAAACCTTTATTTTCATACCTTTTTAAAATACTTATCATAATGAATGTACACTAATTAAAAGGATTTGTAAACCCTGTCTTTTTGGACACACGTATATGCTCCAATGTATATTGGAAAATGCAGATATTTATATTTTATACCGTATGTAAGAAAAACATGATTTCTTTCTAACAGTTCATAGAACAAAAGATTTCAATTGTTAATCAATTATTTCAATAAACAGAGGAATTACAAGTATTATAAGTACACGGGAGAGCGAGGAGAATGTCACCATTCAATACGTTGGAGAGCCTATCAATGGAACGATAAACATTACAGGGGCACAAGTAGAATTTCTCGCTTTGCATGCTGGTCTTAGGAAAATCTGTTTGAAAGCATCAGACAGGTATAGAGCCCGTTCACCTAACTCTCATTATTAATATCAGTAAAGTAAAAATTAAAGTTGGATTTGCAAATCTAAGTAAGAGGTATGTCTATAATATATGTTATTTCATTATTCATAACTATAAAGATATCGACAAAAGAAACTCTGTCTGAAAATATTTATCACAAAACGATGTGATCAGCGAATAGAAACCAAATGCCGCTGTTCAATTTTATTCGAAAAGTAACATCAACTTTTCCATGTTAGTGATATATAATTTAAGTAAAATTAGTATAATTAGTATGATTATTCTTTTTTTGTTTATCAATATTCCGAAAGATAAATATGAGCTAATCGTTTTTATCTTAATTATCTCACTTTCCTTTTTTTCAGCAATACTTTCACACATATGTGCCAATTTGTTACTGTTAAACGACATGGTAATCTTTAACCACCATTTTGTGAATTTTGTACATAGTTGTGGATGACATTATACATATGTACATAATGATTTCTTCCCACATTGAATTACGCAGAGAATGTTTTATGAGTAAAACGATTTTTTTTTCAAAAAATAAATTTAGATCCATGTGCATCGAACCCTTGTCAACATGGAGGTCGCTGTTTGTCTTTCGATTGCAATGTCAAATTCGTCTGCTCTTGCAGTCATCTTTTTACCGGAAGATTTTGTGAAAAACGTAAGGACAGTTTAAATGGATGTTATATTAATCATGCTGCTAAAAATATTTTTTTTTACAAATTAATACATTCCATCACATGTAGTTTTTATATTATAATTCTTTAGCTTAATTTTGAATGAAAACGGTTGCTATGCATTGTACATATACATGTATCTTTATTCTCTTTTTTAAGGAATAAAGGCATGTGATTCAAACCCATGCTCATCTAATGCCATCTGTATCGATAATTATTTTCAACAACCATATTTTATATGCCTGACTCAAAATGGTAAGATTGGGGGGTTAAAAGTCACTGTGATAAAACATCTAGATAATTATGAGAGATTTATGTTCTTCATTATTTTAAAGATCGTTTCAAGTTTTATTTGAAAACGTAAATTTATTTACTTATTATATAATTTTACATAGAATATGCAAAATATAAATTCCTCCATTCAGTATACGTGAAAGAAAAGGAAATAATATGCGCTTCCAAAGATAAGTTACTGGTATATTTAAAAAGTCGGAATAATAATATGTTGTTCAGTTTTTGGTTCATATGTACTGATGCTTCAAAAATGAAGTTAGACATTCGCTTAATTTTTTTCCTCCTCATTTCTCGTCAGACCAACAGAGCAGTACAACAGATTCTCTTATTGGAAGAATTGTTGGGTAATTTGGATGAGGATACATGTTGGAAGAAGACTGAACGTTTATAACTTTATTATGCGCTTTATCTTTGCTTTGTTTATGACTTTTACATAAGCGATTATAAATGCTTGTTTTTGTTTCTAATAAACATGATCATGCAAAATAATGTTCTAATGACTCAAACATTTTCAATTGAAAATTTATAAATATCTTGAAAGGTCTCTTAGAAGGAAAGAGCATAAAATTGATTTCATCCCTTAACAATGGCAAATTAAAAAAAACATTGATTGATAATTGATTTTCGTTCTAGCCATTTTTAAATGATATTCAGCGGTATATCTCCTCAATAAAAATGTGGCGATAAGAAATGGAGTTGGAAAGAAAATTAGATAAACGGGTACTGCCAAATTTATTTTATGTCAAATTTTTCTGCTGCTGTTGTTGTTTGTTTGTTTTGTTTTTTTTTATGGATTAAGCAAAACATATGTGGTGTATGAATGTGCATGGTGCATTTCTTGAGACAAGCTGTGATTTAACAATTCCCAAAAATTTATTATTTCTGATTTCTGATATTATCTGCTGCACTGATTATAGGAAAATAATGTTTCAATCGCTATTAAACTGTCTTGTTGTAACTTTGAATGTACGGGAAAGTTTGATTGGCCATTTGATGCCTTGTATTGATTAGTTAAACGTTGATGCCTTATGAGATTGCACCAGATGCTCCAAAGAATAGATGAAACAAGATTAGTTTTAAATGAGTAAAGTCTAGCAGACTCTGCAAGAAATGAATAAATGCAAGGACCTTCAATTTATTACTGCATTAGAAATTATCAAATGCACAGGTTCTAAATCGTATCGAAGAAGCTATATACAGACATAATATTTATAATGCGTCGATAATGACTCCAGTATTATTATACATTCGAGAGGAAAGATAAAGGACAGGGTATATTTTTATGGCCTAAATAAGACTACATAAACCCTTCACCGACATACGGTGACGTCTCTATATGAGAGAAAAATTCTCGAGAGGGACGTTCAACAATATACAGTCAATCAATCAATTAATCCTACACATCTAACGTTAAATGAGAAAAAAATATAAACAAAGCAGAATACTTCTTAAAGAATAGAAAAAAAACCTACGAAGATACCGTAGAATAAAATATCAAAGCATTTAGATTTTCCTAAATCAGTATCTGTACATGTATAATGCTGGCAATTTGAAGCATGTTTTTGCTTAACCTCTTGTAAATATAATTAAAAACACCACTGAGTGAAACTGTGATTCATCGAACTAACAAATGACTAAAACTAAATCTGCATAACAAACAAAAAATCTTTACATGGAAATTAATTGGCTGGCCTTAACACTAAATATAAAGTTAATGACGAATTGACTAGTTAAACATATACGTAGCGCAGTTAAGGTTACAAATGGAAATATCGGCGATTTTTAAAGATAAAAAATACACAAATTATAAGAATGGTCGATTCTTTTTAGGACTTCACTGATTTAAAAGAAATGTGATCTGGTTCAAATCTACATGCTGATGACAATCAGATTTTTTTTTTTATTTGGACTTGTCAGGTGATGTCGGGGTCACATTATTTTAGCATGTATACTTGTAGTTAAGAGGTCATCTATAAATTCCAATATTGCAAGGGCATAACTAAGTTAAAAATCTTAGTTTAATTTATAAATCTTTTCAACACTACACTGTATATGTAGTTTGTGAAAAGTGCTGCGAACCTATATAGAATCCCTTGTTTAATTTATTTTTTAATTTTTTTTTTGTTTTTGGACGGTAGGTTGAATATTTTGCTGGTCAACTACATCAAATATAGCTATAATTAATTTATTTGCAAGATTTCATGAAGTTCGTAGCACTTTTCAAATATCTTAAAGCTTCTTAGCTTTATGTGTAAAAACTCGACAAGATATATTGAGGGTATGCCCTTGCAATAAATCGATTTATTACGGCCCTTCTATCACTTTTTTTAAATGAATCTGCATACAAACACACTGTATCACTTATCTGGAGAATATACACTATATATATAAATATATATTATTGTTAGATAGACATAGCATCCAAGTTAACGGCCTTTTATATGATTGCAAATAATATTAATTTTTATTTCAGAACAAAAGAAATTTTTCAATGTGACTTAATCAGCCTCTTACTGTGTACAAACTGCGTCATTTTTGCGAGATAACGTCACATTGACAAGTGCATTGCGATCGATGCTTTGTTTATTTATTGTTGTGTGAAATTTAACAAACGACAAAACTGCATGTAATAGTTCAGTAGGGGACAAAAGTGTTGAGAAAAAATGGCGTCACTAAAATAAATCATAGATCCGCGCGTATTAAAAGTCGTGTATTTTTGTTCAGAGTTGGAGTTTTAGAAACCCCCCTGAAATATAAATAGGTCAGTACAAGTGACGTACAGCATGAAGTATATATCGTCATCTGGTATAGTTTAGTTTAGTTCTATCTCGGTAACAAAATGGAGACGAAACGTCAGGAAATCTCACAACCCTAGAAACAGGTTATTGTGGAACTTTACTTAAGTGCGTGTCTACGAGAAAACCATGCAAAATCAAAATTTTATGATGAAAGGCATTGTGATCATTTTGACTGATTTTATAGTTTCTGATTAGCATCATGTGTCCTCTAATAAATTCCAGTATCAAAATTGTCAGGTGCCTGTGGGAACCCCTATTATGACCCAATATTCTATTTTTAGCACAGTTGTATAAAAATAATAAGAAAACACCCATAGATTAATTGGGAAAAAATACAGTAAAAATGCACTTTTTAAAAAAAATGGGAAATATTAAAGAAATCTACAGGAAATGTTCTAAGTAGAAAAATTTTATTTTATTTCATTTATGTACACTGATTCTGTAAGACTGGGGTCTAAAATTAGATTAAATCAATGTTTTGAAAATACTACAATATTTAGAATGCTGTAAAAACCCAAGAAACGCCTGAAATATTATAAATATCAGTTTAATAGCAAGATTCCTTCATAATCAATTGATAGTTAAAAGGAATTTGGTTGCAAATGTCATTACACTAATTTAAAACTAGAATGAAGTTGACTGAAATCATTAGTAAAATTATCTCCCTTGGTGGAACTCTCCTTAATTAAAGGAAGTAAAAGTATGACGTCTAATGGCAGACGAAAAGATGAGGTGTGCATTTGGTGACAACTGTAATGAAAAAACCCTGGTTTTGTTAAAATAATGTAAAAAAGATACAGCTGCCCATCTTAGATACTTGAAATGCAACACAGAAGACATTATTATCCCAGAGAGTGTCCTAATACGAAATCGTGCAGGTGATATGGGACTTGGCTTGTCTAGTTTATGTCAACATGTATGTGCCTATCACAGAAATATTTTCGGGCTTTACTGGAAGAGGACCAAAAGGACCTGTTGTCATCCACTTCACCATAACAATCAATCAAGTATGATCGCTCGAGGACTCAATATTGTACAAAGCCGAGAAATATGGCTAAAGTTGAATTTGGTTTTGCCAATTGGTTCTGGTAAGATTTTTATGTATATTTATCAATTTTTAGTAAGTTACAGACGGAATTGTTTTTTGTAAAACCGCCTAATTAGCCTAAATAAAAAAGCATGCAGAAAACGGTACTATACATAATATCAGGGTTGTCAATACCGGTAACTGAATAAGAAGCGAAATAGAAGGTGGCATCCTAATATGAGAAGGGTGTCTAAATGGGATACTCCCCCTATAAATGTAGAAGGGACAAGGTTGTCAGAATAATCTGAGAATTACATTCATCCCATCCCCATGTATACCCTTTTATCCCATGGATATAGCTTATGTGATATTGTTTTCATATCCCACAGTTTTGATGACACAATAGGTT